TCATAGTTCTCCTGGACCTTTCAGTAGCTTCTGAACTTCCATAGAGATGAGTTGCAGACCCCATGTGTCCCCGTTCAGCTGAACTCTCTTAGACACCCACCTGAGATCTTCCCACTTGGCATCCTTTCCCAGGACACTCCATTCCATTCCGCCTCCCATCCACTTTTCCATTTCTTCCCCAGCAGCGACTCAGCATTCCTGGGCCGCTGGGCTTTGGGCTGGTTAGTCTCCCCCAGGAAATATTTTTTCCTGAAAGGTGGTGGGATGTGTACGTGTTGTGCTTCTTCAAACCTGGGGGTTCCTGCTACCCACCCAAATCTGCTAAAATTTCTGCTGTTAGCTAGATAAGGATCGGCATTCAGAGAACAAGCTTGCTCTCTCTCTGTGTGTACAATCCCTTCTGCTTTCTGTCTTATTTAATAATATACTGTAATTTCAAAACATACCACAGACTGATTGCTCAAATGGACCGCAGCTTCCTCCTTTTTGGCTTTGCTAACCTGCAGCCACTTTTGTTAAAACAGATATTGTTAAGTAAAATGATGTGCTGTTTCTGTGGCTGACTTGCATTAAATTAATGGGCGTGTTCCTTTCTTGTAATGCAGACCGATATGGGAACAGGATGTGCAATTTATGAAATTTATGACTTGCTTGCTTGCTTGGAAATCAGACCCTCCAAGTGTCCTTATTTTCCAGGGACATCCCTGATTTAGAGAAGCCATCCCAGTTTCTGATTTTATCCCAGTATGTCCCGCTTTTCTGTAGGATGTCACCATTTTCACTGGAGAAATGTTGGAGGGTATGGAGTTATCCGACTCCCGAGTCGTCTGAGGGCAATCCTGTATAGGGAAGGGTGTTTTTTTTTAAATGTTTAATGTTTTATTATGTTTTTATATTTGATGTAAGCTGCCCAGAGTGGCTGGGGCAACCCAGTAAGATGTGGGGTATAAACAGTAAAATTATCATTATGGAATGGGATGTCCCTATTTTCATCATAGAAATGTTGGAGGGTATGGGAAATGTAAGGAGAAACTCATTTGGCGTGTGCATGTTACCTGCTGACTTTCAAAGGGAGAGCAGCTTGATCTCGTTTGCCCTGCCAACCATTCCCTTCTGCAGCTGGAGATTGTTCTGCCCCCCAAATGGACCAACCTTCTGCAAAACACAGTCTCTGTTTCCATTTCACTAGAAGACTATTGCAAACTTTGCCTTGGATCCAGATTCAGTAAGTGCAGTTCCTCCCACCACTGCCAGATGTCATTGCAGCACCGATCCTAGAGGTGATCAGCTGTCACCTTCTGCAAACTGGTTTTCATTTGCAAAGTCCCCCTTCCAGTCTCCCAGATTGCCACTGGGGTCCTGTCCTGAATGGAGGGCCAGGATGTCACACACACACACACACACACACACACACTCCCCTGCTGCGTGATGCTTGCCTTGTGAGGGGGAATACCAGAAGAGAGGCAATGTGTGTGGGGGGGGGGGGGACACAGGAATACAGCAAATTCCTCCCCTTCCATTTTGGGGCATGCATATAGGCAATGGGGAGATTGCATTTTTGCAAGTGTGATTGTCAATGGAGATCCCGGGGTGTTAGCTAAATCTAGTCAATGAATCTGGAGTACGCTCACAGGAGACAGACTTGATAATGAGAGGGGAAAATCTTACATATTACCAATTTTAGTTTAGCAGAATATTTGAAAGCCCCGAAATGTCTGCCAGAATACATTTGCAATCTGATTTAGAATGTTAATAATCTGGTACATAGCACCAGTGCAGTTAGGGAAAACGTACAAAACTAGTTCAAATATATGTTGGAAGTGTAAGGAAAAGGAGGGAACATTTTATCATATGTGGTGGGATTGTAAAGTAATTTTAAAAATTTGGGAAATGATATACAATGAATTGAAGAAAATGTTCCATTTAACATTTGTTTAAAAACCCGAGGCATTTTTGTTGGGGATTGTAGGGAAAGACCTGCCAAAAAAGTTGAAAAACATCTTCATGTATGTGACAACGGCCGCGAGAGTTCTGGTAGCACAAGGATGGAAGACTGAAGAAACCCCAACTAAAGAATCATGGCAAGAAAAATTGATGTACTATGCAGAACTGGCAAAACTGACATATAAGTTACGGGACAAGGATAACTGTGACTTTAAGGATGAATGGGAACATTTCACAAAATATTTGAAGACGCAACAAAGCGAACTGGACTCCTTGGCAGGTTTTGAATAAACATTCACAATTTTTTTACTGATAATAATTAGCTAAACACTTTGAGGATCTATACAACTGTGTAACATGCAGAAAATAGCATTATTGGAGAAACCAAAGACTGGAACTGAGGGAAGTTGGGGGTTGGGGTTGGGGTTGGGGTTGGGGTGATGGGTTCTGCGGGGGGAGGAAAAATGGGGGGGGGATAAGGATATATTGGAAAATATGTTTTGTTAAAACTTTGAATAATAATAATAATAATAATAATAATAATAATAATAATAAATATAATGTTAATAATCTGAATAAATGGTTGAAACTGAACCATTTGGCTAAGTTTCCCAGCCATCCTAGTCAATGTAGAGTAGTGGTTAGGGTGTTGGACTTGGAGAGATCTCTGCCTGAGTTCTTGGGCAGCCGTTGCCAGTCAGAATCCTGGGAAAGATGACCCCAAGGACTTCTCTGGAGTAAGGCAGGTTCATAGGCAGACTCTTCCACAGAGGCTTGCCTGGTGTTACCATCAGTTTGGCCACCTGACAGTTCTGGATCACAGCGAGGGGCCTGACCTGATCTGGGGCTGTCTCGACCCAACTTGACCCCAGCCCAGATCCCTCTGAACTGGCTCAGGATTTGGGCTGATGGCTGGCTGGTGAAGGACCCTGTGTGAGAGGCAGGGAAGTAAGGATCTTCCAAGGTGGGAAGCTGGGAGAAGAAAGAGAAGCTCCCAGGTGAGAGTTGGGAGGCTCCACCCCCTTCTGTGTGGGATAAGAGTTAAGATCTACCTGTCAGAGAGGACTTTGCACCTTTCCTTCTCTTATTCTTTAGATCAGTTTGCTTTTCAATGAAATGTAATATGAAAAGTCTGAATAAAACCTTAATTATAAAAAACTGGGGAAAGGATTTGGGCTTCAGCTGAATGTGGTGCCCAGCTCTGCTACCCAGCATGTCCTCCTGGCCCTACAAAATCTCGTGCTGCCTCAGGTGTGGTGGAGACACTCTCTCAGCAGTCAGGCTGGGTTAAGGTCCAACTGCTGGTCAAACTTCTGTATGAGGAACGGATGCCATCTTGTAATTCGCCTCAGGTAGCAAAATGTCTTGCACAGGCCCTGCTCAGGAGACACTGATGAGGCCATTCTTAAAGAACAGAGTAGCTTTTATTTAGAGGCTGTTTCACGGCACAGCTGCAGGAAGCAGGCAAAGAGCAGTAAAACATGACTCCCCAAACATGGGAGAAATCAGTGGGCAGTTGTGGTTACAGCGTGCAGGGTTCAAAATGCAAAGTGCACAAGACATCTCCAGCAGTCAAGTTTCTCAGCAGTCTCTCAGTGCAGGGAAAGAGGCAGGTTCTGGTCTGACCTTCTTGTCAGCCAGCAGAGGTGATCTGGTCATGCCCTAGTCGCCTGCTGGTGAATATGGCTTCTAGGCATGGATCCTTCAGACTGGATTTCTGATTCAGCTCCAAGAATTCCTTGGCAGGGAGCCTCTTGGCACTACTGGTACAAAGAGCAATAGAATATACTCCCCCAAAATACAGATATATCCAGGGTTACCGGTAAAAAAAAAAAAAAAAAAAAAAGACATCTAGATGGCTAGCAATAAGAAAATGAAAGAAAAAATATTACAAGTAGTCACACACACAGAGATTCCAATCAGTCGCCAGTTGAAAATATACTCTGGAAACCAAGCCTTATGAGGAACAGTTGAGGGAGCCGGGTATGTTTAGCCTGGAGAAGAGGAGACTAAGAGGAGACAGGAGAAACATCTTCGTATCTGAAGGGCTCCAGAGGGTAGGAACCAGACCCATGGATTCAAGTTACCAGAAAGGAGATTCGACTAAATATTAGGAAGAACTTTCCGATGGTAAGAGTAGTTTGACTGTGGAAGAGAGTGCCTCTGAAGGTTGTGGACTCTCCTTTACTGAAGGTTTTTAAGCAGAGGTTGGGTGGCCATCTGTCATGGATACTTTAGTTGAGTTCCTGCATTGCAGGCATTGGACTAGATGACCCTCAGGGTCTCTTCCAACTCTACAATTCCAAGATTCTATGGATAAGGAAGAATGGGAGAGAGATCAATCAGGCAGGTCAAAAGCTTGCTAGGAGAACGGGGCCATAATCAGCTCCTGTCAAGAGCATTCCTGCAACACCCCAAGTTTCCAATCACGTTCCAAAGGCTGCTAGGGCAGGCAGATTTATGGGCACATTCTTATGCTGGGTGGTTAGAAGCAGCACTTCCGTATGAGGCCCCATTCACTTTCCTTATTATTATATTGGCACTCATTGGAGATAATACAAATCCCTGGAGAGAACAGCATTTCACCCAGCACCAATTAGACAATAGGCTGGTAGGAACAATGACTGGGAAGCATTTTGTCTGCAGCAACAAAGGGCTCCTTCACACTTCTGTCTGTTCCGTGCCTGGGAAGCATGGTTCTGAGCAGTTTTCATCTCACACTTTCCAGGCATAGCTCCAAGCAATTTTGCCTTTGCCCCACTGCTTTCCCCCAGCCTGCACTTTAGCGCTAAATCACAACAAATGGCATTCCACGGAAAACCTGATTGCTGTTAGTTCTGATTCAGCACTCAAGTTTCCCCGAGTGAAACTGGCCGGGCAAATGAAGATGTGGATAACCTCACCTCACGACAGCTACAAATGTTTCCACAGCCACCTTCACTCAAATACGCACAGAGAGCAAGAGACTCTGGTCTGAATTACACTCACAGAACCTGAGCTCTCTGCTGATAGCCAAAAGCAAACAAAGGGTGCCTGAAAAGCTATACACGACCCCCTTATTTAAGCCAGTTTACAACAGATGCCATCCATTTCCTAATTTTGCCTGATACAGAGGACTTTTTTTCTTCAATTTGATCATACAGCTTCTGCTCTCCTCTGTCTTGGAGGTATTGACAAGCTGCTCTGCTCTCGTCTCCTTCGAATGATGTGGAAACCTCAATCTCTTTGCTGGGCTCACTCTCAGCCCCACCGGCACACATGGCTGAGACTCTGAATCTGTAGGGTGTCTGGGGCTTCAGACCATCCATCTCACAGAACTCTGTTTTCTTCCCTGTTCTTTTTTCAGCCCATTCAACTTTGTCCTTGCTTTTTGCCTCTCCAGCCTCTTCACTGTAGTCCACTTTGTATTCCTTTATAACAGCTCCCTGGCCAATGACCTTTGGGTTCTCCCAGGCTACACTGATTTTGGAAGACTCTGCGATTATCACTCTCAGTTTCCCAGGAGGGCTGGTAGGAAGTGTCTGTACAGATTTACTCACATTGCTGGTCTCACTAAGTCCTGGTTTGCTCCTAGCGCTGTATCGAAACTGGTATTCTGTGTTTGCGCTCAACCCTCTCACTTGGAAAGTCTCCTGACTGTTGTCAGTATTCACAATCTCCCAATTTTCTTCTCCTGCAATCTTGTACTCTACTTGATAGCTAGAGATTGAAGTCCTCCCATACTCCGCAGGTTGAAATGTCAGCTGCACATGGTCATGTCCAATTCGGCCAACCAGGGGAGGGAGAGGTTTTGAGGGCAGCTCAAAGTTGCTGTTGACCATCTCCCCATCTTCATAGAGGTAAATAGAAGCACCTGGGTTGTTCTGATCTGGGACAGAAGCCACAAGCAACCGGGTCTTCCCATTGGATTCATTGACTTGGGCAAAATCAACAATGGACTTGGCAGCTTTCCGAGCTTTTCTCTGTATGTCTTTTCGCTCAAACCAAGCATGCCAGTCCCCCAGTGCATTCTGGACTCCTGTAGGATCTGCTGATCGTTTCTGAAGAAAGTGTTGTAAACTGGTTAAAAATGGTTCCTTATCATGTAAAGAGGTGAATGTAAATAAGACAACAAATTCATTCTGGTGGTTAAGCACTACCTCTTGCAGTTTATTCTGGGAGGAGATGGTTTCTATCCCACTCAGGATATCAAGGTAAGACTTGACCATATTTATCTCTTGTTCCTTGGTGTCCAAAAATGCATTGAGTCTTTGGTCATTAAAGGGTGAGTGCTTTATGGATGTTAAGATGTCCACCAAAACTCTTTCCTCTTTCTCCCCTCCCCGGATCAAAGGCAAGATTTCTCCCAGGTGTTTCTGGAAAGTCTGCCTGTGCTGCTTGCATAGATCCTTGAATCTCTTGATTTTCTTCTTTAATTCTGGGAAGTTTTCAGCAGCAGGATTCATAGCCAGATCATTGCATCGCATGTTGATTTCATTCAGATTCTCCAAGACAGTTTGAGCATCAAAGATCAGTGTTAAGCTGATCTCACGCACCATCTTAGCTGCTCTGGAATCTAGCTTGGTCAGTGGGTACAGCCAAACTCTGACAGGCACAGCCTTCTCTCCATCCTCCCCGAGCTTTTGGGGCAGATCGCTGTAGACTTTCATGGCATCTTGAAAAGTCACCGGATTACTTTCCAAAGAAAAATCCCCATAGAACTTGCAGCTGAAATTCTCCGTTTGGGCTTTCTCCTTCTCCTCCATCTTGATAGATGCTTCCCCTTTGACAGAGACTTTAATCAAGTTGATTGCAGCGTGGAGGCTTCCTTGTATATCTTGCACAGACTCAGAAGAAGAGACATTTCGGTCAAACAGAAAGAAAGCCTGGGCTCCATACAAGAGGGCAGTGACAACATGGGTGGCTGTGCCATGCTCAAAAACAGCTGGATAAGTGATATTTCGGATTCCCAAATGGCTCATGGTCAGCTGTGAATACTTGGTGGTAGCTTTGTATTGCAGAGTGACTCTGGCCTGTTTCGTGGACTTCTTGGTGTCTTGAAGGAATTTGCCTGATCCACCCACTTCAACCAATCCCACCAAAAAACTGGCCTTGAGTGATGGTGAGACATTGAGGGCAGAGGCCTTATCATCGATGGAATCAGATGCAATGATTTCATATTCAGCCTTGGGTTGCGGTTTGATACACAAGTCCTTCTGAAGCGAGTCGTGGTCCCAAAGGGTGATTCCTGGGATAAAGCAGAGAAATATGCAAGGCTTGAGTATGTTCACAGAAATGTAGAACACAATTAGCCTAATGCCTAAGACTGAACAGAGAAACAAGGAGATAAAATAGACCTATCATTGCCCACAATGTCTGCGCTCATGAATTTTGTCCCACTGTCATCCCCAACGAAAGAGGTTTGTGCAGTTTTGTAAAACTTTGCAAAAGGCAGGGAAAATATTTGACCAGATATGATCGTGGAACAAGTGTGAACATTTCATGAGCGTCTGTTGTACAGTCCTCAGAAAGGGGATGGGCACAACTCAGCAGCAGGGATAAGCTTCAATCACCACCATTTAGGGCTGTGAACATCTCCTGCTTGAGGACATAGAGAGTTGGTGCTAGTTGTTGGCTGGCATGGGGAAAAATGAGAATTCCTTGGGGGCCAAGATCCAAGTCAGGGCAAAACACTTTGGTGAGAGAACTCCAGCAGATTTAAAATCACAAAATATGCAGCAAAGCAAAGTGTGGAAATTTAGGCTGTCAGACCTTTAAAATATGTGCTTGTGAGTTCCTTCCAAAATAGTGTCGTCCCCCCACCTGGCATTGAAAAAGACCACATCTTTGGTAAATTCATAATGGTTTACTTAAAAACTTTCCAAAGGTCAGATTCATGTCCTTTTCCATACAGCAGTCAGAAAACACAGGGAGTAAAACTTGGCTTAGTTACTGTCAGGGAACTGCCATCAGCTCAGAGGCAAGAGCCGCTGTGTTACAGGGAGCCTCCAAAGATCGTGCATAGCAGCTCTTCACGCCTCCAGTGGGGAAGGGATGCAGGGCTCGGAGAATGCTAGAGAGAGCTGCAACACCGAGCCTGAGCAAAGCGAGGGGGAGGAAGGTCTCCCTTTGCCCACACCCTCTCTGCGCAGTCGATTTAAGCGCAGAGAGGGGAGGCGTAGGATGGGGGTCAAAAGACTGCTCTGCTGGGGAAAGTTTAAGGACCGCCCACTCCCAGATGCTGCTAGCGACTGAGCAGACATGCAATTGAGACGCTCTGCACAGTGAATGTTTTGGATAGATAATAAAGCTTTGAAAAGACCAGTGGGAGTCTTGCCTGTTCGTTCTTGAGCGACCACGCCGGCACACATAACAGTTACAGTGGTGAAAGTTGTTAACTTATTGGTACAGGAACACCACAATGGATTACAGTCCCTCCAGGTGTCCCTATTTTCCAGCGACAGTCTCGGATTTACAGAAGCCATCCCGGTTTCTGATTTGATCCCTGAATGTTCCGCTTTCCCTTAGGCTTAGGACATCCCTATTTTTATCAGAGAAATGTTGGAGGGTGTGGAGTTATGTGACCCCCTGAGCCAAGGAGAAAAGTAACTAGACAACCTATAGAAGACATCTGAAGGCAGCCCTGTATAGGGAAGTTTATTTTATGTTTAATGTGGTATTTTTCAAGAAAAAAAGATGCCAGAACTCTCCATGAATGCTTCCCTTGTTCTCTTATAATGAAATGGTGACCACCTGAGAGGTGCCAGAACTGAGTTCTGGCAGGTTATGGCTGAAAAAAAAGTCCTGTTTTTTTACCTACAGTAATAATTGTGGAAGGGACGTGGGTGGCGCTGTGGGTAAAAGCCTCAGTGCCTAGGACTTGCCGATCGAAAGGTCGGCGGTTCGAATCCCCGCGGCGGGGTGCGCTCCTGTCGTTCGGTCCCAGCGCCTGCCAACCTAGCAGTTCGAAAGCACCTCCAGGTGCAAGTAGATAAATAGGGACCGCTTACCAGCGGGAAGGTAAACGGCGTTCCATGTGCTGCGCTGGCTCGCCAGATGCAGCTTGTCACGCTGGCCACGTGACCCGGAAGTGTCTGCGGACAGCGCTGGCTCCCGGCCTATAGAGTGAGATGAGCGCACAACCCTAGAGTCTGGCAAGACTGGCCCGAACGGGCAGGGGTGCCTTTACCTTTACCTTAATAATTGTGGAAAGATGTATTCTTAATGGTCTGCATAGGCCTGGTGGACTACAAAGGTTTTCGGCAAGCTTTAAAAAATTGAAACAGAACACACCTGCTGAATCTTTATTGACAGATGATGATGATGATGATTTGGGCCAAGACGATGCCAGCAAGGTTAAGGAGCAAAGAAGCTATAGGAGGCAAAGAGCCTTCTTTTTAATAAATGGAAGTCTTGTCCAAATATAAAGGATAAACATAAAGGAACACAAACGCAGGCAAAAGAAGTGGAAGCAGACAGTAAGGGATGTTGAAAATGAATTTGAGGAGCACATTTAGCACTGAAACTGCACTGTTTGGGCCGACTGCTAATCCTGATATGAGTAATTTTTCCTTTTCAGCATAAGCTCTTCCTTGCACCAGCTCTACCTGGGATGAGGGCATCTTTACGGCAGTCGTACAGCATCCCCAGCTGGAATGGGCGGCCCAGGGCTGGTATTTTAACCGTGTCGTCTGATCTGTCCATGGCTCTGGTCCAGGTTGCTCTCCTGCCTTCACCTCCCTGCAAGAAACAAGAGATGTGAAGGACTCTGGAAAGATTATTCGTCATGCAAAGCGTGTGGGGAAAAGAGGAAGGCCAAAAAGGGGGAGGTAATGTCTCATTGGGGGCGGGGGGAGATTAGACGTTTGTATGCAGTAGTTGCACACGTGGAAGGTAGCTTGTGCAACTGATCTTCTTGCTTTCCTCCCATCCACAGCCCCCTGTAGCAGCTGAAAACTCTATCCAGTGATCCCTGAACAAAGGGGACTGTGTCACACAGAATTGCAGTGGGAGAGGAAATCACCCTGAAACTGGGCAAAGGGATCATGTGCCAATGGGGGCTCTGCTTGGACAGGATTCCTAGGCCAAGCTTACAAGACAAGGCTGCTCATGTTTGCTCCTATTTCTTTCCCTTTTCGTAGAAATTTAGATATCCAAGGAGGGCTTCCTTCAGAGTGGGACTATTACTTACCTTCATCTGGACGCTAGACTTCTGTTGATGCAGCCTAGGATTGCATTAGGTTTTTGTTTTTTTAACTGCTGCATCTCACTGCTGACTCATTTTAAGCTTGTGGTCTACTAAGACCCCTGGATCCTTTCTACATATACTGCCAGCAAGCCAGGTGTCCCCATCTTATATTTGTGCACCCATTTATTACTTCTAAGTGCAGAAACTGACATTTTATCCCCATTGAAATCAGTATTGTTAGTCTTGCCCCAGTTCTTTAGTCTGTTACAGTCATACTGAATATTGATTCTCTCTTCTTCAGTGTTAACTACCCATCCCAGTTCAGAGTCATCTGCAGATTGGATGAATATCCCTTTCTGTCCAAGTCAACAAACACAAACCCTGGTTAAGTGCCAAGACTTTGCCTGTGCTCACAAAATCTGCTAAGGAAATTTCAGGCTTGCTGCCTTTAGCTGCAATCACTATAAACCTTGCCCACATGTTCAATGTATGCCCTGCTGTCTTGTATGTATTCTATATTCATTATGATTTTTTTAAATGTATTCTGTATTAACCTTGCTTATGATCAACATTTTTGTATTCACTCATAGGAAGTTTGATTCTTGCTAGATTAGAAAAATAAACATTAATGCCTACTCTCGTCACCTCTAAATAGAGTTCAAGGCAGTACACATTTCAGCAGCACAACAGATCTGCCAAGGAAATGGGTTCTGCAATTTGCCACCTGCTCTCAGCCTCTCTTCCTGGGCAGCAGACCTTTCATTCAATCACTTTGCAAGGAGGGAAGATTCCTCCTATAAGAGTAGGGAAAAGCCAAAGGTGTGAGATAGCAGAAGTGGAGTTAGAGCTGAGTTCCACGTATGCTCTGATTGCAGAAAGTGGGCAGGATGCCAACCCTTTGAAGATCCCTCAGTTTCTCTTGACACCCCAGCTTTCCCCCAAGATGAGGCCAAAGGAAAGGTAGGGCAGAGAGGGAGAGAAAGAGATCTGATGCAGGTCTCCCTCAAATTGCGAGGATTAAGAGCAATCTCACACATGTGGCAGTCTTAAAATAGGAGAAAGGGGCAGAGAGTACAGAAGAATAAGCAATGGGGGATGCCATCAATGACTGAAATACTTTTCAAACCAAGGGAAAAACAAACCAAGGGAACACACAGAAATGTCCAGGATGCAATAGCCCAGATGGTCCACAGCCGCCAGTCCCATCCCTCCTGCAAGGAAGCAACTGGCAGCAGCAGAGGTGCTCAGCATCTTAGGAAGGTGCCATATCCTGAGTCAGGCCAGGGGTCCCCCTAGTCCCACCCCAAAGCCCGGGAGAGCCTTGCGCTGCAGCCTTCATTCCTTTAGCTCCAAGTCTGGGCCATATCAGGATGGATTCGTGGCCTTTCCAAAGAGCCAGAGAGCAGGAGGCGAGGGCATCATTAGCGCAAGATCCCCGCCACCAAGTCTCCTCTGCAATATGCCATGGTTTGCAGCAGCCATGCAAAAGAAGCTTTTGACAACTAAAGAAGATGCGACAACTTCTAATGTGCAAACGCATCTTGCTAGAAACGTGGAAATTGGATGACTCTCCCTTTGCCCACAAGTGGCTCTCTTGCTTGAGTGATCTCAGGGGAACAGTACGACTTGCGTTTGTCACCTCTTAAAGCACAAGTCTGTTTCAGTGCAAGGGGAAGAACCTCACGCCTCCCCAGCACCAAGCTGTGGGTCTCTGAGGAAAGTGTGGGGTTCCTCTGCCTCTCGGGTGCTTCTGCAAGCGCCGCGGAAGACTCAGTGGGGCGAGCAGAGTCGTCTCCGCTTTTGGTGAATGAGAAGCAAGTCAGAGAATCCTCCCTGGCTTCTCAGAAAGGGCTCTGGGCTGCTAGCCAGAAATATTTGGTGGCACTGCAGGGTGAGCGGGGGGCTGGATTCGCCCCTCTCCGTTTTATTCCCCTCTGAACCGAGTCCCTGGTCCACACGCGAGAGAGAGAGAGAGAGAGAGAGAGAGAGAGAGAGAGAGAGAGAGAGAACGAACACGAACAACGCCCATCAAGCGCAGCTGCTCTTTGACAACGCGGAGAAGAAGGTGCGCTTCTCTTTCTGCGTTTGGGAACCCCGGGCGTCGCCTTGCGCAGAGTGGGGCCCTCGCTCCGTCTCGCGCAATGTCGCCTGCACTGACTGGCAGGCGCTTCCCAGGCCCAAGTCTCTCCCCCAGCCCCACCTGGAGAGGCCGGGGGTCAAACCTCGGACCTTCTGCATGCCGGGCAGCTGAGCTGATTCTCCCTCCTGGCGAAAGACTCCCTTGCTCTGAGTTTGAGCGCAGAAGGGCTGGGGAGAACAGAGGAGGGAAGGGGGAGATTTCACTTTGGCCGGCGAGCCGAGGTCTTGATCCCTGAATTCAGTGATTTGGGAAGAGATGCCGACGAAGGATTAATTTTTCAGAGGGACCCTTTCTCTTTCCTCTGCCTCTCCTTTCTCTATCCAGTTCAATGGAGAGATTTCTTTCTTGCAGGGAGAAGCTGTGTTCCGAAAAAACCTTGGTGTGGGGCAGAAGAAGTTATTTCCATCTTCCCCCTACTGATTTTTTCTTTGTCTTTTTGTACCCCCCCCCCCATGGCAAAGGAAACACGACAGCTCTAATTTTGGGATTTGTCAGTCTCCATGTCTGCAAATTTCAGGCAATTCTGGCGGGGGGCGCGGAGGGGGAAAGGACATGTTCTTTCAAAAATAAACTTTAAAACCCCTGGAAGGATGTTCCTGCAGATTGTCAGCTCCTTTAACTGCCCATTTAATCAAAGGGAAACGATTCATGATTATACACGCAAGACAAAGTTTTGCTTCCGAGAGCTCTAACTCAGCCTCTAGCAGCAGGTCAAACAAAGCAGACCTTGAGCATCTCTGAGGCAGGTTGAGATACAGAAGACTTAAAGTCAGACCTTGTGGCGGCTGCTCCCTGCTCCCAAATACCAACCTGTGGTCCGTCTGAGGTGTGGGTCTCCCTCCGTGTGGGTCTCCCTCCGTGTGGGTCTCCCTCTGTGTGGGTCTCCCTCCGTGTGCGTCTTTCTCTGGGTGGGTCTCCCTCCGTGTGGGTCTCCCTCCGTGTGGGTCTCCCTCTGTGTGGGTCTCCTCCTCCTGCTGCTGCTGCTCTTGGGTGCTTCTCCAAGAACTGCAGAAGACCAAATGCAGCTCCTCTGAAATTTTCCACCCAGAGGGCAGTTTTGTCCTCTCCTGTAGCCAATAGAAGGAGGTGGACGTGGAGACGCTCCTTCAGGTAACAGGACCGAGGCCAATTAGGGCTTTAAAGGTCAGCACCATCACTTTGAATTGTGCTCAGAAATGTACAGTGGTACCTCAGGTTAAGTACTTAATTCGTTTCGGAGGTCCGTACTTAACGTGAAACTGTTCTTAACCTGAAGCACCACTTTAGCTAATGGGGCCTCCTGCTGCTGCCACGCCGCCGCCACGCGATTTCTGTTCTCATCCTGAAGCAAAGTTCTTAACCTGAGGTATTATTTCTGGGTTAGCGGAGTCTGTAACCTGAAGTGTCTGTAACCCAAGGTACTACTGTACCAGAACCCACAAATAATATGGAAGTTGAGCCTGGCCTGTATCTGAACTGAGTGTTGCTTGAAGCAACTTGGAATAGCTTCCTGAGCACCACCTGACGGTGACTTCTCCTCCTCAGTTATTTGCCTATTTCTGGATTGGTTTAGATCAGGAGGCCAGCATTGGGATTAGGAGGCCAGCATTTGATCTGCCTTGAAAACGAAAGCAGGTTTCTGCCAGCACAGAAATAGCTGGACCAAGGCATCCTGCCACTGACTATAACAGCACCTGGTTTACGGGAAAAGCTTTGGGGTGGGCAGAGAGACAGGAGGTTTGCTGGTGCTGCAGAAATAGTGCGGAGGCTCACAATTTCTACCCTCCAATGACAGAAGAGAATTGAGGCCTTTTGGGTTGCCACACCCCACCCTCAGCCAATCAGCCCGTGCCCCAGCCCCCTCAACTCACCTCACTTCATATCTGAACATATTTACCTTATTTCTCCAAAAATATTATTATCATTGCTATTATTATTATTATCATCATCTGCTGAAGCCATATACCATTTATTTATTTACAAGCAATAAACTACTATTTATATAAATAAATAATAAAACAAAAATAATAATTGTTGATGATGATGATTCTTCTAACAATGCTTCCGTTGACCTATGACTGGAAGAATTGCAATAAAGCACCTAAAGCACTCTGGTTCCCAAGATTGACAAGATTTCTGCTCCCCTCCCCCCCCATTTCTTCCCAATGCTTTTCCTGTAAACCAGCTGGTTTACCAACACTGACAGACATTGGCAGCTGGTGTGTCTGACCATGCCAGAGGAAACCCAATCCATGGCAGAATTACTTTTGTTTTCTACTCAGATCAAATGTTTGACTCCTGATGCTAATAAGTTCAGGAAAACAGACAAGAGAAGCAGCGCATAAGGCTGTCCAGGTCTGTATCCAAGTGAGGGCAGAGAGGGCAGCTGTGATTCCC